CCCGCGGGTTCAAGACCTGCCTGGGCAGCGAGACCTCATCTCTATAATAAATCAAAAAATTAACCGGGCGTGGTAGCACGTGCCTGTAATTCTGGCTACACGAAAGGCTGAGGCAGAAGGATCGCTGGAGCCCAGAAGGTCGAGGCGGTGGTGGCCAGGAGCGGCCACTGCACTCCAGTCTGGGCGACAGAGTGAGACTCCAACTCAAAAAAATATATATATATATAGTCCCTGGGGAGACACCTCTTATCAACAAGGGTGCCTGAACGAAGCATATTTGCATACCTAACCCTTAACTGTACCCCACAATATCATAATAAAAAATATTGATTTAAAAAAAATATATATATAGTCCTAACAGTTCTGTGAAATCTGTACCTTGAAAAGAAAGGGCTATAGCATTAAGCCCTGATGTTTGGCTGAATTTAACAATGTTATAGCTAGTATTATTATTGCAAAGGGGTCAACATCAAGAAAAGGGTTGACATCTTTCTTAAATATAAGGGTCAACAAGTCATTTGCCCCAAAATTAAATATTCAAAAATCTGAAACCATTTTAAATTTCCAGAAGGCAGGCGCCATGTCTGTTTATATGACTTTGTTCAGCATTCAGTACAACTATATTTAATACTCTTCATTGTAAAATTTTTAAACAAATCAATAGGATCACTTCTAAACTGTCTCAAAACCAATAAACTAAAAGGCTTTATTTATTCATCCATTCATTCATTCATCAAGTCAGAGTCTCACTCTGTTGCCCAGGCTGGAGGGCAGTGGCACACTCATAGTCACTGCAGCCTTGACCTGCTGGGCTCAGGCAATCCTTCTGCCTCAGCTTCCGAAGTAGCTGGGACTACAGGCATGTGCTACCACGCCTGGCTCATTGTTTAAAATTTATTTTAGAGACGAAGTCTTGCCAAGTTGGCTAGGCTGGTCTTGAACCCCTGGACTCAGGCAGTCCTCTCACCTCCACCTCCCAAAGTGCTGGGATTACAAATGTGAGCCACCATGTCCAGCAGCATGTTATTTTATTGGAGAGATGTTTTAACTGATTTCAATATCCACTGATTATAATGAAAGATATAGAGTTAAATGTTGGAGTTAAAAAGATACAATCTTTGCTCTCATGGAATCTACAGTTTAAGGACATTAGCATATCCTTTCTTTATGAAAAGAAACAGCAATAAATTGTTATAATTATTATTATGCTAAAAGATAACAGCTAATACCTGTTAAGCTCATACCACCATCAAGCACTACACAAAGGCTTTTTTTTTGAGTTAGAATCTCACTCTGTCATCCAGGCTGGAGTGCAGTGGCATGCTCATGGCTACCGCCAACTTCGACCTGCTAGGCTCAGGTGATCCTTCTGCCTCAGCCTTCTAATTTGTTGGAATTAGAGGCATGCACGACCACACTTGGCCAATTTTTTTCATTTATTGTAGAGACCGGGTCTTGCCAAGTTGCTCAGGTAGATCTCAAACCCTGAGCTCAAGCAATCTACTCACCTCCACCTCCCAAAGTGCTGAGATTACAGGTGTGAGCCAACACAGCCAGCCCAAGCACTTTTAATGTCCTTTATTTCAGTGAATCTTCAGAACAACTGAGTGTGGTACCACCATTATGCCTATTTTATAAAAGTAAAATTGAGGCATACAGAGATCCCAGGGAATGGCAGGCCAAAAATTAAAAACCAAGTAGTTTAAGTCTAAAACCTGCATACTTAACTATTATTTCCCCTTGTTTAGATGTTAGAAATTTTTAATAAAAGCTTCATGTAAAAAGACATACGTACCTATTAATCTTTTTCTTAGACTATGAGGTGTTGACAGAAATTCACTTTTGTCGTTGTTCTGTTTAAAAATAAAAAAGTATTATACTTAAATAACAACATGAAAATTAATGACAACTCTGAATGAAAGAAGTTAAAATAAGAAAAATCTTTTTTTCTCAATAGATTACACTGGTACTAAATGAGCCTAGTTCCCAGAATTAGAACATAATGACAAATGAGATTGTTGAGGAAAAAAAAAAAAAAAAAGAGTATAACAACAACAACAAGAAAATTTACAAAGGATTACTAGAGTCATTCTAGAATTCCAGACATTTGTAATGTATATATCTCTGTAATAAAAAAACATGAGTACATCAGCATTTTAACTTTTTCACCTATCAGCTTGCTAGAACTTTTTTTTTGAGTTGGTGTCTCACTCTGTTGACCAGCCTTAGGCACACTCGCAGCCATTGCAGCCTAGACCTGCTGGGCTCAGGCAATTCTTCTGCCTCAGCCTTCCAAGTAGTTGGAACCACAGGTGTGTGCCACCATGCCTGGCTAATTTTTTTATTTATTGTAGAGACGAGGTCTTGCCAAATTGCCCAGGCTGGTCTCGAACCCATGGGCTCAGGCAATTCTCTCACCTCGGCCTTCCAATGTGCTGGGATTATAGACGTCAGCCACTATGACTGGCTAGAACATTTTTTTTAAAAGCAGTAATATGCAATGATGATGATTCTGAAAGGAAATGGGCACTTATATATAATAGCAATGCACCTTTTAAAATACTAGATATTCATTGATGTTCAAGTATTATATTCTGTGAAGTGGAGAAAAATAGATTTATACTTTTTAACTTTCTATATCTTTAAACTTTAAGTTTTTTATAGAAGTACCAAATGTTTTCTTCTCATAGACTACTTTAACACCATTAAATTTCTAGAACATTAAAATGCGCAATTATATACATGTTAATTTCCAGCAGTACTGATAAAAAGATTAAGTAGCCTGTATTTTTTGTCAACGTAAAATATGACAAAAAAAATTTTTTTTTTAATTTTTTTTTGAGTTGGAGTCTCACTCTGTCGCCCAGACTGGAATGCAGCCACAAGGTCATGACCACCACAGCCTCAACCTGCTGGGCTCATGCAATCCTTCCATCTCAGCGTTCCATATAGCTAGAACTACAGGCATGCACCACTACGCCCAGTTAATTTTTTGACTTATTGTAGAGACGAGGTCTCACCAAGTTGCCCAGGCTGGTCTCAAAGCCCTGGGTGTAGGCAATTCTCTTGTCTGCCTCCCAAAGTGCTGGGATTACAGGTGTGAGCCATCGCGCCTGGCTATATAATATGACAAAAAATTTAAGTCTTTTGTCTTGTAATGGGTTGTTGGTGCTTATTACAAACGCTAATAACATTTGATTTGGGATATTAAGAATAATACTCTAAAAACTGAGCTGCTCCCTTACCAATGAGTTTAAAGTATGTCTCAAACATCATCCCCTCAAACTTTTTTGATCACAATCCTCAAAAATTATTTTTACATTTGCTATCTTGACCCAGTACACATGAGTATATATAACCGAAGAAAATATGATAAATACTTACAAAATTGAAATTTTAAATTCTGTTCCATTTACATTTATTACAGAAACAAAAATCTTGCACTGTCACTCAGGCTGAAGTGCAGTGGCATGATCATGGCTCACTGCAGCCTCAACTTTCCTGCCCTCAAGTGGTCCTACTGCCTTGGCCCCCAAAAATGATGGGATTACAAGCATAAGCCACCATACCCAGCTTTATGTTATTTTTAAAAATGCAAGTTATTTCCTACCAAATTGTTTTCAAGAATGAGAGTTGAAACAACTTGCATCTACACGACTTAATTCAAGCCTGAAACCCCAGAACACCCTTGCCAAATTAACCATTTCAAAAAACTATTGCTCAAAAAGAGAAGACTAGTAAATAATTTCCCTGTTTGCTACAGGGAATTTCTGCAAACTAATCTATTTTGACAGTTTGCTCATTTGAGCAAACTGTTCTCCCATCAGGACAACAGATGATTCCACCAGAGCAAATAGCTTACTTATCTTTATCCAACAACAGTTATAAGATACACCTCAAGAACCTCCTCTTACTGTGCCTCCAATTCTAAAATATCATGTCCCCAACTTTGCCCTATGCCATCTTGAAAAACCTGCCTTAACTACTTTAGCCCAAGATCCCCAAGCCCTATATATATTTTCTCTTGAACTTACTCTTCTTAGACAGTGTAGTAAGACTCTCACGGTGTTGTTGGCTCTTACTATAAGTAGCTGTGTTTCACCAACAGGTTTTCTGATGGTCTTTTGGGAGAGTTTACAAAATCTACTAATGGGCTGTGACTCACAACTTGAGAAAGGATGCTCTAATGTAATGAAATTCTTGTTTGGCAAGAGTTTATGGTAATGATTTTTATCTTTTATAGTAATATAATATACAAGACATACCATAGGAAAAACTATTACTAAAGAGAAATGAGATTCTGATATAACTAGCCCCACATCTAGACTTGCCTAAACAAGACATTTCCACACAGGCCATAACCATAACCTGAAATGTCTCTATTCACAGTCTCATCTAAGGGGCTCCTGTAACGTAGCCTGCCCATGAGCCCAGGCATGCCAACACCTATAGCCGCTCAGGCCTGGACGCACTCACCACCCACAAACTCAACGCCCCAAATTTCTTAGGCCTATCTGGGCTTGCCAATATCCAGGAAGGGCCACTTGACAAAGCACAATAAAAAAATAAAACCACAAAAACACAAATGAGGAGATAAAATTGTCAATTCCTTTTAGCTACCCTGGAATGAATTTATCTAAAGCTACTTAGTTTTCAAATGAAAATTATAAAAGGACAGAGTAATGGATTGAATAGATCTTGGGATCAACTCCCTGTAGACCCCCAAGAAACAACAGAACATTATGTATAAGAGCAAAACAAAATAAAACCCATAAAACTCACAAACCAGGTCCAATGAGCTAAAAATACCCAGGGATAGTTCTGACACAGCAAAAAAAAAAAAAAAAACCACAGTCAGGTCTGGAAAATTTGGCTTCATTTTCAGCTTTTCTCCTTCCTAGTCAGGTAACTCGGGCAACTCACTTTATCTCTCTGAACCTCAAATCCTCCATCCATAAATTAGGTATTTAACAGCCAAATAGCTGTGAGTTACAAAGCACTATATAAATCAAGAGATGAAAAATTTCATGAATTCCTGGCTATTTTCATCACATTTTACTCTGTAATATTAAGGTTTTTGCTTGCTTTTAGTCAATTGCTTACCTTCAGCAGAACTTTGTCAGAAGTAGAATGCCCTAAAGAATGAAGAAAAAGCCATGATTTACTACAAATACTTCGCTTTTCATTATGGTCTAGTTACATTAAAAGCAAAGCTGTAGCTTCTGCACAGAAGCTACCACTTATTATCGGATTCTTAATTAATTGCATCTCCATTAGAGATCACTATTCATGACTATTAAGTTCATGATTACTTCCATTAATGACATCTATTGCCTATATTTCTGTAGTATTCTGACAAAAAAGAGGAGCTCTTTTAATTTTTGATTATTAAAAAGTACAAGGGAGTCAGACACAGTGGTGTGTGACTATAGTCCCAGTTACTTAAGAGGCTGAGGCAGGAGAATCACCTGAGCCCAGGAATTTGACACCGTAGTGCACTGATTGTGCTTGTGAATAGCCAATGCACTCCAGTCTGGGTGACACAGACTCCATCTCTTAAACAAATAAACAAATAAAAATTAAAAGTGCACTGTTGCCTGTAATCCTGCGCCTTTGGGAGGCTGAGGTGAGTGGATTGCCTGAGCCCGCAGGTTCGAGACCCGCTTGGGCAGCAAGACCTCATCTCTACAATAAATCAAAAAAATCAGCTGGGCGTGGTAGCGCATGCCTGTAATTCCGGCTACTTGGAAGGCTGAGGCGGAAGGATTGCCGGAGCCCAGCAGGTCGAGGCTGCAGTGGCCGGGAGCAGTCACTGCACTCCAGTCTGGGAGACAGAGTGAGACTCCAACTCAACCAAAAAAAAAAAAAAAAAAAAAGTGCACTGTTTAGGGTCAGGTGTGGTAGTTCATGATTGTAATCCCAACACTTTGAGAGGCCAAAGCAGGAGGATCGCTTGAGGCCAGGAGTTCCAAACCAGCCTGGGCAACATAGCAAGACTTTGTCTCCACAAAAAAATAATAAAAATTTTAGCTGGGTGTGGTGATGTGTACCTGTAGTCCCAGCTATCTCTTGAACCCAGGAGTTTGAAGCTGCAGTAAGCTATGATTACGCCGCTGTATTGAGCTTAGGCAAAAGAGTAAGTCCCTGTCTCAAAAAAACAAAACGAAAAAGGACACTATTTGCAGTGGTTCTTCTTTGAAAAACTTGGCCATGGCAGGTCTTTCTGCCATGAAATCTTCCTTCTTCCTTTTTCTCACTAATAAACTTTGCTGTCTGCTCTAAAATTCATAAATAAAATATATAGATATAAAAAAAGGACACTGTTTAACCTAGTTGTAATAGGTCACTCAAAGACAGCTGCTCTGTAATTCTCCACAGTCTATAATACAGACTTCCAAATCCAGAAAGCCTTATTTCATATAGTATTTGCCAAACCAAGTCTTCTATGAAAACTGGCTACCTCAAGCCAATGACCACAGGTCTTAAGGATTATTTCTAGGTGGCCCTGTCAATCTGTATGACTTTAGTTAGCACAAATATTTTTCCCTTATATTTTCTTTTTTTTTGAGTCAGAGTCTCACTCTGTTGCCCAGTCTAGAGTGCAATGGCACACTCATGTGCCACTCAGTGGCACACAGCCTCAACCTGCTGAGCTCAGGTGATCCTTCTGCCTCAGCCTTCCAAGTAGCTGGAACCACAGGTATATGCCACCATGCCTGGCTAATTTTTTGATTTACTGTAGAGACAAGGTTTCACCACGTTGCTCAGGCTGGTTTCGAACCCCTGAGATCAGAGAACCTCCTACCTGTGCCTCCCAAAGTGCTGGGATTATAGGTGTGAGCCACTGCTCCTGGCCTATTTTTCCCTTACATTGACTGCTAAACATGGGCATGCTAAGATACACAGGTTGGAGTATTAACTGCATTTTGTTGAGTGAATTTTCAGAATAGAAAAGAAGAAATTATGCAAAAATTCACACAGACAAAAAAAAAAAAAAAAGAGTAACATACTCTAACCTGAAAGCAGCTATGAAAACTCGTTTCAAAGAACTGAGGTAATATCTTACCCTTGCTACTTTGAGGAATGTTTATAATTTCAGGGTTCTTCAAAGCAAATGAGACATTTTTCCTTGGTGTCTTTGCTAGTTCTGAAGCTGTAAACAAAGAAATACATAAAAACCATTTAATAGATGACAGCAGTTAAGGAGCAAGATAGCCTTATTCCATAACTTACATAAAATTCTTAGCAAAAAAGTAAGAAACCTGTGCTACTTTCATCACAGATAAGCCTAGGCATATTAGGAGTACTACTGCTATCCTCCCAGCATCTTCAAATCTTCAATTATCCACAGGTTTCGAAAAAAAAGAAAAAAAAAATTACAAATAAAGAACTAATTGACCTTGCTGCTTTCTCTAATTATCACACTCTCCTCTCTCCTCTCCTTCAACCACTTATCCATTTCTTTTTTTTTTTTTTTTTTTTGAGTTGGAGTCTCACTGTCGCCCAGACTGGAGTGCAGTGGCTGCTCTCGGTGACCGCAGCCTCGACCAGCTGGACTCCGGCGATCCTTCCACCTCAGCCTTCCACGTAGCTGGAACTACAGGCGTGCGCTACTATACCTGGCTAATTTTTTGATTTATTGCAGTGATGAGGTCTCGCCTGCCCAGGAGGGTCTCGAACCCGCGGGCTCAGGCAATCCACTCACCTCAGCCTCCCAAAGGCACGGGATTACAGGCTGAGCCACCGAGCCCAGCTCACTTATCCATTTCTTATACAATACCAAGGCACATCATTGCTAGAGAGTGAGAAATAAGGGCAAGAAAATGGAATCTAAGATCAAGTGAAAACTGTGCATGATTCACATACTTTAAAATCTCTTAGATCTTCCATAAAGTGTGGTATACTCTATTTTGTATCTAAAACTCTACAATGCATATGAATAATGTATAAAATAGAACACAGTGCTGCCCAGATGGCTGGCTTCTTCATTTGAACATCAGATGAACTAGTGGGCTTCTGCTTAGGGGTCACTTTAAAGAAGAAATATCTCTATCGTGAATGCTGCTCTCACACTCAAAAAAAAGTACACACTAGTTAAATTAACCTCCTGCATTTTTTCTTAAGTGGAGATGTTATAGTTGAATTTGTTAAAGTTAAAGCCATTTTGCTGGCTTCTAAAACATCTCTAACCCTGCTCCCACTTTTATCTTCTAATCTTGAATCTGAGCCAAGATATCCATGACAGTTTCCAAAAATGTACTGGCTTCCTCTTTTTAAAAAATTTCCTTGGTCTTCTATATGATTCACTAGGGGTTTATTTGTTTGTTTGCTTGTTTTTTGAGTCTCACTTTGTTGCTCAGGCTGGAATGCAGTGGCACAATTACGGTTCACTGCAGCCTTGACCTCTTGGCCTCAGGCAATCCTCCCATCTCAGCCTCCCAAGTAGCTGGGATTATAGGTGGGTACCACCACATCAAGCTAATTATTTCTTTTTTGATTTTTTTGTAGAGATGAGGACTTGTTATGCTGTCCAGCTTGGTCTCTAACTCCTGGACTCAAGTGATCCTCTCACCTCAGCCTCCCAAAGTGTTGAGATTACATGTGTGAACCACCATGCCTGGCCCCAATCTATTTTTAATTTCCCTAAAGACATTTCTTTGTCCAAGCTGTTGAACTCCTCAATGTCCTCTCTATGTAATACTTCTGCCTTTGTCGTTTACATTTATTTTCTTATTCTGAACACATTCTTTGTATTTTACAAAGCATTCCAATCTAACTCCTAATTGATTTCTGGCTCTGTATCTTAGTCCAATTATATGAAATCATCATTTATACTCAGAATAATATGTAGAGCATATTACTTTTAAACGATTAAGGCATTCTATTTTATTGATATATTTAGATGTAAAACACCATTAGCAACAATACTTAAGTCAAAGAAATTCTTTCAAGTGCATCATAACTAAAAATGAGTCCTAACTAAACAAAGATTTTAGAAAGTATGATCAGTCTGTCAAATTGTATTTCTGAACCCTCACGGTCATAGTGAAGAATAAATATCTAGAAAACTATCTTTTCATGACTCTAGAATGTATATTTCTTTTTCTTTTTTTCTTTTTTTTTTTGAGTCAGAGTCTCACTCTGTCGCCAAGCCTGGAGTGTAGTGGCAAGCTCACGGTTACTGCAGTCTTGACTTGCTGGGTTCATGTGATCCTTCCCCCTCAGGCTTCCAAATAGCTGGAACTATGATGCGCACCATCACACCTGGCTAATTTTTCTTGGTTTATTGTAGAGATGAGGTCTTGCCAAGTTGCCCAGGCTGGTTTCGAACCCGTGGGCTCAGTGAACCCGTGGGCTTGCCAAGTTGCCCAGGCTGGTTTCGAACCCGTGGGCTGAGATTACAAGCATGAGCCACCATGCCTGGCTTAGAATGTATATTTCTTTCAGATGTGATTAGACATGCACAGCATGAGGATGGTCATTCCAGTTTTTGCAGTACTTACAGATACAGCACATTATCATCCTTATGTTATTATGTGCATGTGGATTACCCTCAGGGAGAACTTCTGCTGTTTATACCTGTAAGTCCCATTCCTCCTCACACCAACACCACACCACACCAACACTTCTTTCTCCAACGTTCTTTGTTCTGCTCTATTGTCCTAGAGTTTCATTTTGGTCTTAGTGTCTATTTACTCTTTCCTCTAACAATTACATTAGCATTTCTTCTCTGGTTTCTCAGAGTTTCTACAGAGAGTTCAGATATTTTTATAGCCTGAAAAACTTTAAATTTCTTGATGTAGAAATTTGATGTAGATAAGAGATATATAAATTAATATAAATTATTGTATGTATAATGTTATGTTCAAAATTAGTGATGAAATTAATGTTACACCTTTCAGAAAAATAAACTGAATTTGATAAAACTCATATTATGTTCAGAAACACAGGTTTTATAATTACTTCTTATATATCCCTCATCATATTTAAAAAGTATTTTTTACTTGACCTTGAATGTTTACATGGGTCATTGGCTAGAGAGATTGAATAAAATCACATCACTTCAGAAATATATATAGGTGTTTCATAATTATAGAATATAAGCCCCCTTATACAATTATTACTTTTTACCAGGTTGATAATTATTATTCCCTCATTTCTGACTTTTTCATATTCCCAAACCTTCATATACTTATAAATTGTCTTAATTTTCAAAGTGCTTTCACATGTACTATTTTCATTCCTTCCTTTTCCTATAGTGCCTTCTGAATTTTTTAAAAAACAATTAAATTGACAGTCTAATTTTAATGCTGTAAGTAATTTATTACAGTTTAGATCTCTGAAAATCAGCAATTCAAGTGTGATTGGTATAGTTGGTAACACAGGTAAGAAGAATGTTAGAAAAGATCATTTGCAACAATCTTATGTAAATATTTATAATACAAACATTTTCTATAGACATTTTCTATAGTTATTTATAACACAAACATTTTCTATAATATAACAACATTTTCTAAATTGTCTTATTTAGACAATTTAGAATATCTCCATGTGACTCTCAAGTTACTACTTCACAAAAATTTGCTAAGAACCTAAGCTAGAAATTTTGGGAAAAACAAAAGACTATTATGAGAAACTTATAATCTAGCTGAAAATAGAAGACATCTGAGCACACACACACACAAATGGATGAACTTAAGTTTGCCTAATGTAATATAAAATAATATAATTGTTAGGAAATGTCTCATATTCCCTAGGGAATCTCTCACCATTTAGGGAATGCAACAGGATGATATTCTTGAAAAATGTGGTTAAATATACCCAGAAAAAAGTGAATAGCATCATAGAAATCAAAAAAGCAACATACCTAATTTAGCCATCTTTTCAGGGTGTTTTCTATGCTGAAAAGAATAAACTTTATTCCCACCATGTGTAGCAGAGCCATTTTTCAATGATTCTAAAAGAGAAAAGATAACATGCATTTAGAAAAAGGGGGCAAAGTTAATTAACAGAAAAAAGAGAAAGTTTTAACCCAAAACTTTAAATGTATGCTAATCATTGCCTGGTATAAAGGCTTAATAATACATATTTATATTTAAAAATTTAGAAATAAGCCAGGCTCGGTGGCTCACCCTGTAATCCTGCGCCTTTGGGAGGCTGAGGTGAGTGAATTGCCTGAGCCCGTGGGTTCGCGACCCGCCTGGGCAACTTGGCGAGACCTCATCTCTACAATAAATCAAAAAATTAGCCGGGCGTGGTAGCGCGCGCCTGTAGTTCCAGCTACTCAGAAGGCTGAAGCGGCAGGCGAGGCTGGAGCCCAGCAGGCGAGGCTGCGGTGGCCAGGAGGGGCCACCGCACTCCAGTCTGAGCAACAAAGTGAGACTCCAACTCAAAAAAAAAAAAAAAAAAAATTTAGAAATAAATAGACTGATACTATACAAATTTTAACACGAAAAATATGCTATTCACAGATACACAAAAATACATATAAAAATACAAAGCAAACCCAAGATTAGGGTAATATGCATTCAATTCATGACAGTAGTTGCCCCTGGGAAGATTAGACTAAAGGAACTTTATTATATTTCTTTCTTCAAGCAAATATGAAAAGTACAATTGTTGAGGCTGAGATTTAAACAGCTGTTCTATGGTAGGTCTCTTAACAGATTCTGACTTAACTGACATTCTTAAATCTCCTCTTTAAATAACAACTACTACTCACAACATACTGAACGTTCATTTCTAGTAGCATACTCAAATGTGGTCTGGGGTTACCGAGGTCAAAATTATTTCACAATAATACTAAGACATTAACTTTAGACTCTCAATCAAGAGTGTACAGTGAGGTATTGCAGAGACCACAGGACATGTAATGACACATCATGTGGCTAATGGAACACATGAAGCAGATAACATCTAGTTGTCTTCTACTAAGCCAGACATTAAGGAGATCTACAAAAATGCAAAACAACACCCTCCTATTTTTTTTGGAAAGTTTCATTTAAATATATGTAGTTTATGTCAACATGTAATGGATTTGTTAATACAAAACACTGCCAGACTTTTCCAATGCATGTGTTCATTCTCCTTACTGTTTAAATGTTTTAACTGACCCGTATTTGCACTAATATTTGGTTTTATCCAAACTCCTTAATTTCTTTGCCAAATAGTGGGCATAAGCTTTAATCTCATAAAGAGAGGTATCTTAATTTGCACTTCCTTGATCACTAATAAGGTTGAACATTTTTTCACAGGTTTCTTCCTTTCAGAAGAAATATCTTCTCTATGTTTATGGTTTGTCCCTTCTCTCTTTTTATGGTGTCATTTGATGAAGAGAAGTGCTAGTGTTTTTTAAAAAACACACAAAAAATTGATCTTTTTTTTTTTTTTAGTTGGAGACTCACTCTGTCACCCAGGCTGGAGTGCAGTGGCACACTCCTGGCCACCACAGCCTCAACCTACTGGGCTCAGGCATCCTTCTGCCTCAGCTTTCCAAGTAGCTGGAACTACAGGCACACGCTACCATGCCCGGCTAATTTTTTGATTTATTGTAGAGATGAGGTCTCACCATGTTGCCCAGGCTGGTCTCAAACCTGTGGGCTCAGGCAATCCTCTCACCTCGGCCTCCCAAAGTGCTGGGATTATAGGCTTGAGCCACCGTGCCGGTCCAAAAATTGATCTTTTCATTGTTTCCATAGTTTTGCCTATTCCAGAATATCACATAGCTGGATTCCTACATATATCCTTTTCAGATTAGTTTCTTTCACTTAGTATTATAAATTTAAGTTTCTTTCTTTTTCTTCTTCATGGCTTGACAGCTCTTTTTTATTTAAGTGCTGAATAATATTTCATGGGCAAAATATTCCACAGTTTACCTGTCATACATCTACTGAAGGACATCTTTGTTGCTTCCAAGTTTTGGCAATTATGAATAAAGCTGTCAGAAAGGTCCACCAGCAGGTTTTTGTGTGGTCATAAGTTTTCAGCACATGTGGGTAAGTACCAAGGTGCATAACTGATGGATCATATGGTAAGAATATTTAGTTTAATAAACTGTCCGGCCAGGCTTTGTGGCTCAGCCTGTAATCTCAGCACTTTGGAAGGCTGAGGAAAGTGGATTGCCTGAGTCCGCAGGTTCGAGACCAGCCTGGGTAACAGTGAGCCCTCCTCTCTACAATAAAATATAGCCGGTGTGGTAGCGCGCATCTGTAGTTCTGGCTACTCAGAAGGCTGAGGCGGAAGGATCGCTGGAGCCCAGGAGGTCGACGCTGGGGTGGCCGTGAGCGTGTGTGCCACTGTATTCCTGCCTGGGTGAAGAAGTGAGACTCCAACTCAAAAAGAAAAAAAAAGAAAAATAAACTGCCCGACTGCCTTTCAAAGGTCTGTACCATTTTATATTCCACCATCATAAAATAAGTTCTTGTTTCTCCACATCCTCACCAGCATTTGGTGTTGTTAGTGTTTTGGATTTTGGCTATTCTAATAGGTATAGAGTGGTATTTCATTGTTAATTTAATTTGTAATTCCCTAATGACATGATATTGAGCATCTTTTCATATGTTTATTTGCCAACTTTGGTGAGGTATCTGTCCAGGTCCTCTGCCCAAGTTTAAATTGAGTTGTTTTCTTACTGTTGAATTTTAAGAGTTCTTTGTATATTAGATTTATGTGGATTCTGGGCAGCAGAGAGTTTGAGACTATGATCCCTGACAGGTAATTTTTCTTTTTAAGTTGGGGTCTCACTGTCGCCCAGGCCGGAGTACAGTGACCACAACCTCTGGCTCCTGGCTCAAGCGATCCTCCCAAGTAGCTGAAAATATATAGGCATGAACCACTGTGCCTGGTTGATATAGTTTTATTGTACATAAGCCAAAGGTTAAGTTGTGCTCCCCTGTGATACAGGAGCTTGATAAGTCCTTGCCTAAGTAAAGGCCATCACCCCTCATACTGAAGAGAGTGGTGAGAAGCCATATCAAGGTCCTCCTGCAGCTCTGGTGCCTTTCTACCACACACTGCAGATACAGTTACTTTAACAACGGTTACCTCTGGGAAGTAGAATTGAGGGTCCATTCAATGTTTTGTCCCTTGCATATTTACATGCAATATGTTGTGTAAAAATCTTTCTTAAACAATAAATACCTCATTTCTAAAATAAAATATATTTTATTTTATATTTATAACTGGAGGGCAGTTGCATGGTCATGGCTACTACAGCTTTGACCTTCTGGGCGCAAGTGATCTTCCACCTCAGTCTTCCAAGTAGCTGGAACTACAGATGTGTGCCACCACACCCAGCTAATTTTTTTGTTGAAATGAATGAAGTCCCGCCAAGTTGCCTAGGCTGGTCTCAAACCCCTGGGCTCAGGCAATCCTCTCACCTCCGCCTCCCAAAGTACTAAAATCACAGGCATAAGCTACCATACCCGGCATAAAATACATTTTAAGTAATATCTCCATCTCACTCCAAACAATGGGGGCAAAACTGGATCTTTAGGAAATTTTATTAGGATTAAAGAACATAATCTATATTAGGAGGATTTCTGGCAACACAAGCTCATGCCATTTTAAAAATGCTCATACCACATGGGTACAAAGAGCAACATCCTTTCTAGCAAGTATCCTAAGGAAATAGTAATGAATGTATATAAATATTTAGTATAAAAATGTAGCAGAAGATTAAAAATAACCTGTATGTCCAATAATCGGAGACACATTAAATTATTGTACATCCATATAATGGAACAGTCTCTGTAGCCAATAAAAGGAGTGTAGAAGAATGTTTAATAACAAAGTAACATATACATTATGAATTGCAAAAAGTATGTTGTAACACAAGACTGTTTTATTTTATTTTAAGTCAATCTCACTCTGTCACCCAGGCTGGAGTGCAGTGGCATGCTCATGGCTACCTCAGTCTTGACCTGCTGGGCTCAGGAGATCCTTCTACTTCAGCCTTCCAAGTTGCTGAAACCACAGGTGAGCACCACCACACCCAGCTAATTTTTTAAAAATTCTTTTGTAGAGACAAGGTTTTGCCATGTTGCTCAGGCTGGTCTCAAAACCCTGGGCTCAGGCAAACCTCTACCTCCCAAAGTGCTGGGATTACAGGTGTGAGCCACTGCACCTGGTAAGACTATTTTATAAATAAACACAATCATGCAAGCTTATGTGTGCCCATGCATGTATAGACAGTCAGAAGAAATAGACCAAAATGTTAACAGTTCCACATTCTCTAAAGCAGTCATTCTCAACAAGAATAATGCTGCTCTAAATGGGGTAAAAACTGGCTCTTGGTGTGGGAGGAGTATGGAAAAAAATACTTCAATATTATAATGGTCTGTGGCCCTCCAAAGGGTCACAGCACATAAATAGACACACAGCATATATATAGTATTAAATTTTCATGGGCAAGGTGATTAGGAGAAAATATCTAAAAAGGTTAATTAGGGATAATAATGAAAAAAGCTTGAAAAACACAGGGGATAATGACCAAAAAAGACAAATTTTCCCAATCAGTGTGCAGAAATAAAAGGTATGAGTTTTCTATGTGCTGAGCACCGATCCTCTCAAGCTTTTGAGGATGCCATGCCGGGCCAGCAGAGGGGGTGGGATCAGGGGCCCAGGGCATCTGTCCTTGGTCTGCACCTCCATTTACTCCAGTGTGCCTGCTATGGGTACTGTGATGTGAGAAAAGTTGGAAGTGCAGAGTTTCCACAACAAACACACTACTTTTATATTAAGAAATGACTTTTAAGACAACAAAGTTGCTCTTCTGGAATATCGTTTTCCATCTCTTCTTAGGCCCAGTGTGATAGGTAGTCAAGAACACAAAGTTCTATTCAGAATATGCCTAAAAATGTCAGCTGTCTAGTTGTGGACACTTAAGAGACTTTACCCTGTCCACTAAGCCCATTAAGGAGCAGCGGTCATTTTTTGTACAACTCTATATATGGGGGATATGATCTAACCTCAAAATAGTTAATGAATTAAGTAGTAGGCACAGATAACCCAATTGTGGGTCATCTGTGGACATTCCAATATAAGTTATTTCTCTGCCCCAGATTAAAAGATGAGCTCAGCTAAATCAACTCTTGAGAATCTAGAATAGGAGAATGGAAAAACCAACTAATTTAACACTGACAATTAAACCAGAAGAAGCATTATGACTTAAGAAGTGAGGTCTGATGTGGTAGCTCCAGCCTGCAATCCCAGCACTGTGGGAGTCCAAAGAGGAAAGATTGGTTGAGCTTAGGAGTTCGAGATCAGCCTAGGCAACACAGCAAGAGCTGGTCTCTACAAAAATAAAAATATTAGCTGGGTATGATGGGGTGGTGCCCGTAATCCCAACTACTTGGGAAGCTGAGGTGAAAGGATCGCCTGAGTTCAGGAGGTCGAGGGTACAGTGAGTCATGATCGTGCCACTGCACTCCAGCCTGGGTGACAGAGTGAGACCTGACTCAATAACAACAACAAAACCTGATTTCTTTCCTTGATCTTGAATTTTGTAAAGCCTGCTTTAGTGGACATGTGTTCCTTTTGCTCAGCAAAATCTTAACTAAAATATAATTTGAGTCCCCAAAATATTTTAAGAATAATCTGGTAGGAATCTGGTTAGGTATAAAACACACACACACACACACACACACACACACACACACATACACACACACCCCAAATGTCTGGGGTTGACCAAACTGTTTTGTTTTTCCTAACTATTTCTCTATTTCTGTAAAGAAGATCAAGGTAACAAGGAAGTAACTTGCTTTATAAAATTATTTTAGGTAAGTTAAAAATAGAAATATCTTAAAAATAACTTTAGAGTGGTTGGTCTATAGACTCCTTACTAACCATAATGAAATGCAAGAGTGGCTGTTTGTTAAAAAAAAACTTGAAGCAAATGCTTTTCAAATGAGAAACATAATAATATAGCACACACACTACTTTTGTGAATCCTGCAAAGTAATTTCTGCTTCTATCAGAAACCTGAGTGTACATTTCCCCAACTCTAATACCTTGAATATCTCTTCCCAAAACTTCCACATAATTCTGATCTTTTAAGACTTCCTGGTCATCTTCCTCCAGATCATATTCAGGCTTCTTTATTATTTTTTTTGTGTTGACCAAAAGCTGAGGTCGCTCCTTTTTTAATTTAGCTCCTGTAAGAACATCCAAAGAATTAGGATGTGACAGATGTAAACTCTTTCTAAGCATCACATTTAAATAAGTAAACAAACTAGACTATTTAAATTATCATTATTTAAGAGCTGGGGAAAAAGTCAACGTTTTCTCTTTAGTGAAAAGTACTGACCCCTCTTCTACAGTATACATAACTAAGATTTATTAAACAAACAAAAACAAACAAAAACCTTGAAAGTATATTTTGGAGGGGATCAAATAACCACATATTTTTAATTACAATGGGAAACTGTCATTTACCACTACTACTGAGGATTTCGTATTAGATAAGACTTTGTTTAAAATTTTTCAATTTTGAAAGAAAGCTAAAAATTAGAGCAGGTCTTATTTAGTCTTACTAGATCAACCACTTGTGTCATATTTTCAAAATAAAAAATGTTAAAAGTTTTAAAAGTAAAATAATTCACAAGCATCTCTTCAAATTGTATAATCACTTAGTACCTCCTTCTCTGTCAAGAATTTGATTAAGAACATCATCATCTCCCACAAATCGAACCTCCAGCATCTTGTCTTCCTTTAATTCCAATTGACTCATTACTGCCAACCTGAACAAAAGCAACAAATCATTCAAAAGTGATGAAGAGTTCATACCAACCATCAAATTAGTTAAGCATTCACATAATGAATACACGTTTTTATATAATATTCTAAAAGGCCTTTTTAAGTATGGAAAACATATTATGCATTATTGTATTATTAATTAATATTACATATTTGATTGTAAACAACTCAATTCTTTAACTGAAAAATGGGAGGAAGAGATGTCTGAGAACTGAGAAGAACTAAATCTAGTTCTGGTAACTAAGATAATCTCAGGAAGACAATTCTGCTTATAAAGAAAGTTTTAACCAATCTAGAGAATAACAACATTAACAGGAACAAGGTGGTTAACACATGAGTGTTTAGAAAAGAGGCATTCAAACAAAAAATAATAGTTTGGTAGATTTTATCCTTTGTTCACTAGAAAGGTAGAGTCTTTCGATACTTCATTGGCATTCCCCAGCCTGGATCAGATAACCCTCAAGCACTTCCCTTTACTCTCACTGAATACTACCAAACAACTTTAGGAATATAAACATGGCTTTCTAGGTATCTTGGTAACTAAATAGTAAACACGATTTTTTCCAACACTTTATTGTCAGTTCCTCATTGAATAAACTTCAGCGCCTGGCAAGCAAAAGTTTGATCAACTCTGGCTATTCTGACAAAAATTAGTTTTAGAACTTATGATGCAAATGACCTGAAAATAATTAATGATTCCAACTGCTGCAAGTTAATCAGTTTACCCAAAAATCTAAACTAACATTCAGAGATCTTGGTGAATTTTTCTTTCCTCTCTCTCATAAATCCTGTTTTTCACTTTTCTTCTGACAAGTGAAACTAATGACTGTCTTTCATGAGTTATTTATCTGTATGCAGATGATAAATTCAATGTTGCCAGGTTTTCTTTTCACAATGGGCACAAAATGACTTGTTTCAGTTTTCATTTACCTTTTAAGGTACTACACATTCTGCAGCTGGAAAATTCAGACACTGAGTAACCTGTAATTAGAAAAAGAACCCAGTCAGGGTTCAGCTAACAGAAAAATTAAAGCAAATGGAAAAAACAAACAAAAAAATCCACAAGTTTTAAGAAATATGATGAAGAGATAAATGTAGTCCTTAAAAACCCAAAGCTGTTATGAGGGTATAGTATTACCATTTTGGCCAGGAGTCCAAGAGATACCAGATGAGAATATCTGGATGGAGTGGGGGGGATAGGAGCACAAAGTTCAAGCACTTAAAACGTACTAGACATAGTTTTGAATACTCTAAGTATATTCTCATTTAATCCTCACAACAACTCCATGAGGTTTTATACTCTGTATAAACATAATAAATACTTCATCCATAATTTATTACCACTGCTCATAAACTGTCCTCCTGGGTCATTTTCTAGTCATGATACTGCTTCCTATTATGGAGAATCTGGGTGTATTAGAGAAAGTTGAATGCATTTACATAATATTTGTATAAAATAAAAAACTATACATTTCTTTATATTTCTATAAAATAAACAGGTTTTTTGAGAGGCAATTTGTCAGGCATTCAATAGGCACTTCTATATACACCAGCTCATTAAGTCCACAGATTCTCTCAAGTGGGTGTTTTACATCTCTCTCTATTATATACATAAAAATCCACAATTAAAGATGAGTAAACTGAGGTTAAATATTCAATTATTCACCCAAATTCACATAGTTAGAAAGTATATTAGGGTTAAAATCCAGGCTTGACTGATCACGCTATCACATCCCATACCTCTCTAGTCATTAAATACAAATGTTATCCTAAATTGTTTTGACCTCTGAAAACAATTCATGATATGTCTAATCATTTCCCCATGTCAGTATACTACAAATATCCAAAGGTTTCTATAGTTCCTCTAACTATAGAAACATCACTAGTTCTGTCAAGCATACTTCAAGGAGCTTGGTCAGATTCCGTATAATCTATAGTATTTTTATTTAATATATACTGCTTTGTTCTACCAAAGGATTTGAAGCAGTGACAGTGAGCAAATGCAATAAAACAAATGATAAATTATAAATGCTAATAGGGAGTAAGCATCAGGGAAAACAAAGAAAAGCAGAAAATCATGCAAATAATTTTTGGCCCTGAGTTTCCTGTCAATCAAAGTGAACAAAGAGTAATGATCTGTTACATAATTCTTTCTTTCTTTATTTTTTTTTGTGAGTTGGAGTCTCACTCTGTCACCCAGACTAGAGTGCAGTAGCTGCTCCCGGCCACTGCAGCCTCGACCTGCTGGGCTCCGGCAATCCTTCTGCCTCAGCCTTCCGAGTAGCCGGAATTACAGGCGTGTGCTACCACGCCCGGCTAATTTTTTTATTTTATTGTCGAGATGAGGTCTCGCCTGCCCAGGCGGGTCTCGAACCCGCGGGCTCAGGCAATCCACTCACCTCAGCCTCCCAAAGGCACGGGATTACAGGCTGAGCCACCAAGCCTGGCTTGTTACATAATTCTTATGAGAAAAAGCTTAGTAGTTCTTTGAGGGGTGTAGATAGGGGATGTTCTAAGAACTTCAGAAATAAATATTCTAGGCAACTCAATATTGTCTTAGGCAAGTTCTCTATGGTATTTTACAAAAGAATTCCCTGATAGAGGCAGTCTAACTTGTAGACAGTCTAACTCAGTCTTGTTTGTAGACAAACGCATTTATACAAACATTTCCTTGTCTAGATTTTAAAGTGTCTTTATTTGTACAAAAATCACCAAATTTAAGAAATGTCTACATCAGTGCTTCTTGGATGGCTAAAAAAAAAGGAATTAAAAAAAATTTCTACAAATATTTCATAAGAAAACTTTCCTTTCTTTCTCTCCAACAGTTTTTGAAAAAAACACAACCTAACAGTCACACAATAAAAAACAGTATTAGCTGGGCTCGGTGGCTCAGCCTGTAATCCCACGCCTTTGGGAGGTTGAGGTGAGTTGATTGCCTGAGCCTGCAGGTTCCAGACCTGCCTGGGCAACTTGGCGAGACCTCATCTCTACAGTAAACCAAAAATTAGCCAGGTGTGGTAGCGCGCGCCTGTAGTTCCAGGTACCTGGAAGGCTAAGGCGGAAGGATCGCCGGAGCCCAGCAGGTCGAGGCTGCGGTGGCCGGGAGCGGCCACTGCACTCCAGTCTGGGTGACAGAGTGAGACTCCAACTCAAACAAAAAAAACAAAAACAGTATTTAGTGACCCTTCAAGGCCCTGGTGCTTCCAGGTCAACTCCTTTCCAGGAGCTAACTTCAAGGCAATTCAGCAGCAGCAAGTTAGTCTTAACAGCAACACACTCTCCTTTGAGAGCAAATAAAGCATTTGCTACAATTTTTTAAAATGTAATCTTTCTAAAAAGAAAGTGGTATAGCTTAGTGGTTAAGCATAAATTTTACTATCAGAAAATCCTGAGTTCTAATCTTAGCTCCATACTTTCTGTGTGGTTTTGTCCAAAGTCATGAGGATTAAATGAAATCAAGTACCTGACATATGAAGGTGCTCATTAAAATGTTCCCTATTGGTCAGGCTTGGTAGCTCACGCCTATAATCCCAGCACTTCGGGAGGCTGAGAGGATTGCCTGAGCCCAGGGGTTCGAGACCAGCCTGGGAAATCTGGTGAGACCTCATCTCTACAATAAATAAAAAAATTAGTCAGATGTGGTGGCCCGTGCCTGTGGTTCCAGCTACTTGGAAGGCTGAGGCAGAAGGATCGCCTGAGCCTAGCAGGTCGAGGCTGCGGTGGCCAGGAGCATGTCACTGCACTCCAGTCTTGGCGACAGAGTGATACTTCAACCCCCCCCAAATGTTCTCTATTATCAGTATTTTTACTTAAACTTCAACTTAAATATGCAGATCTCTTAAAGTTCTCTATATCATTCAACATCTAACAGACACAGTGCTCAATAAGCGATGAGTGATGTCCATTTACTACGTAGTGCCATTACACAAAGGTTTAGGGCCACACAATACTTTTCTTCCAATTGAAATTTAACCAGGGAAAGGTGTAATAGTTCTACCAGCATTTCAGTTGAAATGCTCCACCAGATCGGGCTGGGTGGTTCATGATTTAATCCCAGTGCTTTGAGAAGCTGGGGAGGGAGGATCGCCTGAGGCCAGGAGTTTGAGACCAGTCTGGGCAACATAGTGAGACCCTGTCTCTACAAAAAAAAAAAAAAAAAAATTAGCCAGGTGTGGTGGCATGCACCTGTGGTCCCAGCTACTCAGGAGGCTAAGGCAAGAGGATCACTTGAACCCAGGAGTTCAAGTCTGCAGTGAGCTATGATCATGCCATTGCACTCCAACCTGGGCAAAAATAAACAAGCAAAATGCTCTACCAAAAGAGCCTGGTTTGTCAACATTTCCCAACCAAGCATAGTCCCAAGGCCAGTTAGTGACAAGACTCATCTGGCGCTTATAGGCAGGCTGGCTGGAAGGACCGGGCAGCGGTCCTTCTGGGTCGTGACCTCTCCCTCCTCACCCTGCAGAGGGCACTTTCCTACTCCGGTTAAGGATCTCGCAGGTTCCCCTTTCCAGCCCGCGGGTCCTGCAGCCAGGGGCAGGTGGCTGGCGTCATGCGTCCCCGGCACACAGCCCAGTCCCTGTTGGATGGGCAGCCGCACGATCCCTCCTCCGCCCCGCGCGCCTCCCACTCCAGCGAGCTTAGGGACTGAGGCCTGCGTTCCCCTAGCTGGGGCGTCACGGAGGGAGGCGCGGAGACCCCGTCCGGAGCCGAGGGGGAAGCCCGGAGACTCCACCACGATGCGGGGCCCAGCTCGGCCGTGGGGCTGGCGCACCTGGACTCACCTGCGAGCCCAAGCTCAGCGGTGGCGGCCCGGCACCTCACAGCTCACCGCCAGATCTCCGCCTGCCCGCCGCACGACACCGCGCTAAGTCGTCGATACAGGGAAGCCAGTCTCGGTCCCCACCTGAGAGGCCAAGTTCTCCTAATCCGCCTCTCTGCAGGGTCGAGCTGCGGAGCCCCGACGCCGTGGGGGATGGGCAGTGGCGTGAGGCACACCGAATCTCCCGCCCTGCTCAGGGGGCGGTGCCTTAGATTGCCAATAGGAAGGGGGGCCTGGCAAGAGCGACGGCGCTGCCGACCAATAGACGCCGGCTAACTGGCCCCGCCCACCAGGAAATCGGAGCAAAACGAATCCTTAAGCGCAGAGTTCAGGACCTTTCCTTTCCTCTTTCCGTTTCCGGGGAAGGGAGGGGCCAGAGTGGCTGGGACCTGGGGAAGCTGGCGGAGAAATGCTGGGTGAGTGGTTGCTGTCTGTCTTGCGGCAATCTTAAAAGAGTTGCTTGTAGGTTAGTTTGGCTACCTTTTTTGTTTTTGTTTTGTTTTTAGATAGGGCCTCACTCTGTCGCCCAGGCTTAGGTGCAGTGGCACCATCACGGCTCACCGCAGCCTCGACCCCCTGGGCTCAGGCGATTCTCCCGCTTCAGCCTTCCGAGTAGCTGGGATCATAGGCGCACACAAGCACACCCGGCCAGCTACCCTGTTTTGAAGAAAAAAGATAATGGGAATGGATTCAAACTACCTCCTTTGGCTTAAAAGGTGGGATCTCATCCATCTCGAGGGATTGGGGTGGGAAGCAGAGATGGGATCAGACTGCCAGCGGGATGAAGAGGTGGGGAAATAGAATGAATGACAGGAAAAATGGAAAGAAAAAGAATGAACCTGGTTGGTATCCGTACCGTATTACAAACATAAACTATTTCATTTGGATCCATTTATTCAAAACAAAACCACAGAGTACTCGCCGAACCAGACGACGAGGATATAATATCGCGCGAGACAACCACGATCTCAGCTCTCACAGTAGAGGGACCTAGTACGGGAAGATAACTGAACGGACAGGATTTCGAAAAATACTGTAATAGGGCAAGGGCAGTGTTCATTGGAGCACGTGATAGGAGTATTTGAAAGGTCAGGAGGAGTCAGGAACCGTTTCCTTAGAGAAAGAGATGTTTAAACTGGAGCCTGAGGGTTGAATAGATTTAAGCCGGGCAAAGAGGCGTAAAAGTTTCTAAGTTGAAAGTCCAAATCAATATAACAAGTGTGTTAAGTGCCAAGAGTTGTGCCTGTCAGTTGAAGGGCTCATTGGCCATTAAGACACAGGTCAGATTTGTACTGACATCACTGGATAAAGGAGGTAGGGGGTGGTGGGGAGGAGATGGTGAAATATCTAACAGAAAAACTAAAATGATCGAAATAGCTTGCTTAACATGAGTAACTCCATTTTGTTAAAATCCTCTATATTAGCTGCTTGCTTGACCTGAAATTGACACCCCCAGTGTGTACATGTAGTTGCTGTAATGTTCCATGACCACAGACCCACATCCTTGTTCCCCCCTTAGCTGTTCTTGCTGACCATTTGAAAATTCTTTAGCCACGAGTTCCGTGTAATTGTTTTGTTAACTGAAATCAGATGTTGCGCCAAGAAATTGTTCCTTATAGAATTCCCCCTGCCACCTCCCCCTAATTTGTTCTTATATTTTTGTTCCCTTTTCCTTTTAGTTCCTTGTTCCCTCATTTCCCTGCTATGTAGCCCACTTGCGGTTTTTGCCTTTATAAGCTTGTTGCTAGTTTTGCTCAGGGTTGAGAGCATTTGGAGACATGAGGCCCCGCTCGACCGCCGGCTATTAAAAGACTAAAAAATTCTACTCTCAATGTGTGGCGACTCCTTTCTCGCACTCCAGTTATAACAATGAAGTCACAACATTTGGAAGCTCTTTAGGGAACCTAGTGTAGAAAGAGAAATGAGGTAGACTTTACCTCATTACTCTGTTTTGGAGTTGAGAAATTAAAGGAAAACGCAATTTTCTGTGAATTACAAATAAAAAAAATTGGGGATTGGGGGTGGGGGCGAGTAGAGACAGAAAACAAAGAAAAGAGAATACAGCCTAACAGTTAACAATGAAGTGCTTTTAAAGTGTGTTTAAAAATATGGCAATCTGCATGCAGGGCTCAGTTGCTCAGCCTGTAATCCCGCGCCTTTGGGAGGCTGAGGTGAGTGCATTGTCTGAGCCCGCGGGTTCGAGACCTGCCTGGGCAGCAAGACCTCATTTCTACAATAAATAAAAACAGCCGGGCGTGGTAGCGCATGCCTGTAATTCCGGCTACTTGGAAGGCTGAGGTGGAAGGATCGCCGGAGCCCAGCAGGTCGAGGCTGCGGTGGCCGGGAGTGGCCACTGCACTCCAGTCTGGGTGACACAGTGAGACTCCAACTCAAACAAAAAAATATATATGTATATATGGCAATCTAGCCAGGCACGCACACCTGTAATTCCAGTTACTCCGGAGGGTGAGGCAAGGAGGATCTCTTGAGCCCAAAAGTTCAAGGCAGCAGAGCTCAATGATCTTGCCTGTGAATAGCCACTGCACCCCAGGCTGAACAACATAGCAAGACTCCATTTCTTTAAAAAAAAAAAGAGCCGGGCTCGGTGGCTCAGCCTGTAATCCCACGCCTTTGGAAGGCTGAGGTGGATTGCCTGAGCCCGCGGTTCAAGACCCGTCTGGGCAGCGAGACCTCATCTCTACAATAAATAAAAAAATCAGCCGGGCATGGTAGCGCATGCCTGTAATTCCGGCTACTCGAAATGCTGAGGTGAAAGGATGGCCAGAGCCCAGCAGATGAGGCTGCGGTGGCTGGGAGCGGCCACTGCACTCCAGTCTGGGCGACCGAGTGAGACTCCAACTCAAAAAAAAAAAGAAAAATTTGAAGATATAGGAATACTGAATTGATATGTTCAACTTACATGTTTTGTATGTTTCTGTGATGTAAGTAAATTCTCCTTCACCTCCTCCCCTCTCTGCCAAATCTTCAATAAAGTCTTGTACAGACACAGTAGTGAGTAGTGGGGTTTTGGTTTCGTTTTTAATAGTACTGAGGTGGAAAAGAGAAGGAGCTGAGTTTTGCATTTAGATTGATATTAGTATCCATAAAAGCAAAGAGCTCTACATTCAGAATGGAATTGAGAGACAGGATTTAGGAGTGGTAGAAAGTTGACATTGGGGGATCAAAATGGCAACTACTCATGTATTCACAGAAATTTGGGCTAAGGTATTAGACTGTTCCAAAGGGGGACATAGAGATCAAGAGAGGGAGGAGGATGTTCTGCAAGAGGGAGAGGGAGGGTAGAAGAGGTAAGTTTAATTTGGGGCATCTGAACTTTGAAGCACCTGAGGAATATCCAGCTAACCTGCAGCCCAGACCTCCACTCAAGAAGTGTAGGTCCAGAGAGATCTAGCGGTCATCAGTACAGTGATTAAAAGCCAAGGGAAGAAAATGAGAATAGCCAAGGGGTTGTGCATATATTTGCAAGTGGATACCTCATCATCCGGGACAGGCAGCAAGGGGATAAGGACAACTGCAGATAGTTCAGAACTGTGAAGTGGTATGAGAACAGGAAACTAAGGAATTTTCTAGCATGATGGCCTCCATTTTATGGAGGAAGAATGAGTTGAGGCTGCCGAGAAAGTGGTAAAGTGATGATACTTTGCAGCAGAAACTCAAGGGAAGGAGAAAGGGGACAAGCCAAGAAGTGTAAGAAGTGCGGGGGCAGTGAGGTTGTGCAATGGCTGGGTAAGGGAAGAGAGAAGCCAGATTGAAACACTGATATAAAGCAAGTCTACAGTATTTGGGTGGGAATATTTATGGAGTGGGCTAATATGTTGTCAGTTAACTGTGTTAAGTATTTCTCTAGGAAAAACGTATTGAGTCAGGAAGATTGTTACAGCATTAATTTTTTTTTTTTTGAGTCAGAGTCTCATTCTGTCACCCAGACTGGAGTGCAGCGGCTCAACATGGCTACCACAGTCTCAACCTGCTGGTCTTAGGAGATTCTTCCACCTCAGCCTTCCAAGTAGCTGGAGCTACAGGTGCACACTACCATACCCAGCTAATTTTTTGACTTATTGTAGAGACAAGGTTCTCACCAAGTTGCCCAGGCTGGCCTAGAATCCCTGGTCTCAGGCAATCCTCTTGCCTCTGCCTCCGAAAGTACTGGGATTGCAGGCGTGTAAAGAGAATTTTCAATCCTGATTGAACATGAGGATTACCTGGGGAACTTTAAAAATGATGTGATGCTGGGTCCTGCTCTCAGAGTCTGGATAGGGCCTGGTCGTCAGAATTTTTTTAATTAAAGTACCCAGATAGTTTTAATGTGAAGCCAGGGCTGAGAACCAGTGAGCTAGGGAGAATGAAAACTTGGCAATAAAAATGTCTGTCAGATATGAAGTGAGGCAGATGCTATGCATCAAACACTTGCTGAGTGTGGTGGCACGTGCCTATGGTTCTAGCCACTTGGTTGGAAGGCTGAGGCGGAAGAATTGTCTGAGCCCAGCAGGTCAAGGCCGCAGTGACGATGAGTGTGTCACTGCACTCCAGCCTGAGCGACAGAGTGAGACTAACTCAAAAACAAAAAACCAAAACCCCACATACTTGATAAGAGTTCAGTAGGTCTAGAATGTCAGTGGCAGGTGCCTCAGCAAATAATTTCTACCTGGAAATGTTCTTAGATGTCACTTAGATTTCAGTCATACTCAGGAGAAAGTGATTATTTCTGAGTATCTAGGAATAAAAAATACAGCAGCCAAAACCTACTTTATCTCCAAAATTGTTTTGTGCCAGAGTTGGTAATGCAGTGAGTCCTCCATAAAGCACACACAAGATGACTCTATCCAACCAGTAGTGGAACATTTGGCACAGTAAACCTTAGAAGTGTCACAGAGTAATTACAATGGGTAACTGGATTTTGAAAATAATTCTCAACGTAGAGTTTTAACGTGTTAGGTCAGTGAGCCGATGCCATGGAAATAAAGCCAAGAATTGCAAAAGCAAAAGAGTTTATTCGTGTTCAAGGAAAAAACGCGGCTAATGCTAAGGGGAGTGTGGCATGCGGTATGGGAAAAGGGTGTATTTAAGGCATTTGCAGGGAAGCTGGACTAGAAAAAAATTCCAGTGACTGTATCCTTGGGAAT